CAGGAAGGGATGCACAAGGTTGATATCAAGAACCCCGATGGTACCGAGTCCAGCATGTACCTCCAGATCGACACCATGTCAGGTGAATTCCTGCCTTTCCGACCTCCACCTCTGCCTCAACCCCAGGCTGCCGGCCAGGCAGATAGTGCCGTTGCCGATATCGAAGCCGCCGAGGACGTTCCCCAACACCGGATGTACAAGGCTCTTTTCACCATCGAGGAGTCCATCGATCCGGACGGCCAAGTCCGTATTATGGCCCACAGTCCTCGGATTGTGCAGGACACCCAACCGCGAAGCTTCCTCGAGCGTCTAGCACTTCGCCAGCTCAAGTTCGACGAGGCCCAGGGTCGTCGAGACATGCACGCCATCAGCGTGAAGCGACAACGAAAGCTCAGGATGAAGAAGAAGAAGTATAAGAAGCTTATGAAGAGGACGCGAGTCCTGCGCCGCAAGTTGGATCGAACTTAGACATATGTACATATTTCTTTGGTTGTTCGAATCATGTTCCTCTTTTTGATATCTCGCATACGGGGCATATCGAAGGACATCTTTCATTCGTGGTGTCTGGGCATTGCAGAAGAAGATCTCTCATATTGAGTTTGGGCTGTGGCATTGCGCTTTGAGACTTTTCCTATGTTTCCATAGACTCGCGCAGGTAACAATCATCATTTTCAAATGAGTTGAGATATCTTCCGTGGTGACCTCAGTCTCAGATACGCGAATCATGTATAAATAGCTGTACAATTCACCTGCTGGTCTTCAGACATAATTTTGGTTCAAGTGACGTCGATCTGATATTCAAAGCTTATGAGTTGTGACTGATACGTCAAGAATATATATGGCTTGCTGTTGGGTATGCAGTAAGAGTCTATAGCTCATAAGAAAAGCCTCCAATAGGTCGAAGAAAAATCTTGTGAGTTACAAAGTCAATCAACAGTGGCCAAGGTATTTTATATTGAGGTTCCTCATACTATAAACAATAATCATACGCGACTCTTAAACACTAAGCGCCGCTGCATTCAACCTCTACTAGAGTTCTCGGTGACTGAGGTGAAGCTAGGTTGGTCCCTTAGTGGCGGAGGCCCCACTCCAAAGTATCTCACCGAAATTCACCGCCCGGCAGAAACTTATCGACCGCCAAAATTTTGGATTTTTGAGACGCTGGGGCCCACCTCGAAAACGAGATCGCATTTGCGCCAGCGTATTTTCAGAACAATTGGTCTGAAGCAGAATCTGAAAAGATGCAGCGCAAGGCGGTGTAAGTGTTGATGCTATGGTATGACTGTGAATAGCTTTGACTGACATCGATATAGTGACTCGCGCATTCCAGCGCTCATTCAAAATGGCCTGCAAGAAAAGAAGAGAAGCTTTTTCGTCGTGGTGGGAGACAGGTCGAAGGACGTGATCGTGCGTCTGCATTATATCATGTCCCAGTTTGATATCAAGCAGAACAAATCAGTTCTTTGGGCTTACAAGAACAAGCTCTTGGGATTTACCAGGTAAGTAGATCTTGACAATCTCTTCCTTCGATGCGACGCAGCTAACCAAAATTTTACAGTCACCGAAAGAAGCGCGAGCAAAAGATCAAGAAGGAGATTAAGCGAGGAATTCGAGAAGCCAATACCGAGGACCCCTTCGAGCTGTTCGTATCGCTACATAACATCCGATATACCTACTATAAGGAGACCGACAAGATCCTAGGTCAGACCTTCGGCATGTGTATTCTCCAGGACTTCGAGGCCATTACCCCCAACATTCTTGCCCGAACGATCGAAACTGTCGAGGGTGGTGGACTAGTTGTTTTGCTCCTCAAGGGCATGAACAGTCTGAAGCAGCTTTACAGCCTGTCAATGGATGTCCACTCGCGTTATAGGACAGAGGCCCACGACGATGTAGTGGCGCGTTTCAACGAGAGATTTATTCTCTCTCTGGGAAGCTGCAACTCTTGCTTGGTTATTGATGATGAGATGAACGTTCTCCCTATCTCGGGTGGAAAGGGTGTGAAGAAGCTTCCTCCTCCAGACCTCGACAATCCCAAGACAGAGTCACAAATTGAGCTTGAGGCCATGAAGGAGCAGAACGAGGGACGACAGCCCGTAGGACCTCTTATTTCTCTCGCCAAGACTGTCGACCAGGCCAAGGCTCTTATCACATTCACGGATGCCATCGCCGAGAAAACTCTACGGAGCACGGTTACTCTAACTGCTGCTCGTGGTCGTGGAAAGTCTGCGGCAATGGGTGTCGCTGTCGCAGCTGCTGTTGCGTATGGATACAGCAATATTTTCATTACCTCTCCTTCGCCTGAGAACTTGAAGACTCTGTTTGAGTTTGTCTTCAAGGGTTTTGACGAGTTGGGCTATGCTGACCACGCCGATTACTCCATTATTCAGAGTACAAACCCCGACTTCAACAAGGCTATTGTTCGGGTCAACATTCACCGACAACACAGGCAGACCATTCAGTACATTCGCCCTCAAGATGCACACGTGTTAGGACAGGCCGAGTTGGTGGTTATCGATGAGGCTGCGGCTATTCCCCTGCCACTTGTGAAGAAGCTCATGGGTCCTTATCTTGTCTTCATGGCCTCTACCATCAACGGTTATGAGGGTACAGGTCGATCTCTTTCTCTCAAGCTCATTAAACAGTTGCGAGACCAGTCGCGCACTGCTTCCACAGCTGGCGAGGGCATGGAGATCACTGATCGATCAACTGGCAAGACCTCAAAGACTGAGGAGTTCCAGGCGGGACGAAAGCTGCGAGAGATTACCTTATCTGAGCCTATTCGATATGGCCAGGGAGATGCTGTCGAGAAGTGGCTCAATACGGTTCTCTGCCTCGACGCGACTCTACCCAAGGCTAAGTCGAATATCAACGGATGCCCCGACCCTACACAATGTCAGCTCTTGAACGTCAACCGAGATACTTTATTCTCCTTCCACCCTGTGTCCGAGAAGTTCCTTCAGCAAATGGTTGCGTTGTATGTAGCTAGTCACTACAAGAACTCGCCTGACGACCTTCAACTCATGAGTGATGCCCCTGCACATGAGCTTTTCGTTCTTGTTCCTCCTGTTTCTGAGGACAGCGCCAGACTACCCGAGCCTCTGTGTGTCATTCAGGTTTCGTTGGAAGGAAAGATCAGCAGACAGAGCGTCCTTAACAGTCTGAGCCGAGGGCAGCGACCATCTGGTGATCTCATTCCTTGGCTTGTCAGCCAGCAGTTCCAAGATGAGGAATTCGCTTCCCTATCTGGTGCTCGAGTTGTTCGTATTGCCACAAACCCTGAGTATGTTTCAATGGGATACGGTTCCAAGGCTTTGGAACTGCTCGTTGACTACTACGAGGGGCGCTTCGCCAATCTGTCTGAGGACGAGGATCAGGTTATGGAGGGGGCAATGACTCGAGTTACTGATGCTGAGCTCGCCAACGCCAACTTGCTCGATGACGACATCAAGGTTCGGGATATCAATAAGATGCCTCCCCTGTTCGCCAAGCTGTCAGAGAAGAAACCCGAGCGACTCGACTATGTTGGTGTTAGCTACGGATTGACGCAACCTCTTCACAAATTCTGGAAGAAGGCCTCGTTCGCGCCCGTCTACTTGAGACAGACTGCCAACGACCTGACTGGCGAGCATACCTGTGTCATGCTGCGGCCGCTTGAGAACAGTGAGGACCGAAGCTGGCTCGGGGCTTTCTCCAGAGATTTCCAGAAGCGTTTCCTGTCGCTCCTGTCTTACCAGTTCCGCACATTCACTCCTATCACTGCCCTTAGTATCGACGAGGCTGCGAAGTTGGGAGCGCAACTGGACTCAGTTGAAGTTCAACCATTGACCAAGGCTGATCTTGATATCTATATGAGCCCTTTCGACCTGAAGCGACTCGAGTCATATGCCAACAACATGCTTGACTACCATGTTGTTCTCGATCTTGTTCCAACCATCGCCCACCTCTACTTCACAGGACGCATCAAGGGAGACGTCACTCTATCAGGGGTCCAGCAAGCCGTCATGCTGGCTCTTGGTCTGCAGCGCAAAGATATCGATGTGGTTGCCCAAGAGCTCAACATGTCTACCTCTCAAGCTCTTGCCATGTTCATTAAGATGATGCGAAAGATCACTAAGCACTTCGGCGGTCTCGTCTCCGAAGCTGTTGGCGCAGATCTTCCCCAGGTTGAGCGTCTTGGTGTGAGTCGTGAGAATGCTAGTGGCGCACACGACGATGAGATTGTCGATGAGCGTTACGTTCCTCTGACTACAACATTGGACGACGAACTTGAAGAGGGTGGTGATGAAGCAATGAGGGAGCTCAAGAAGAAGCAAAGAGAGCTCATTGACTCTTTGCCCCTTGACCAGTAAGCTACACTAAGATATTCATGCAAGGACATCTGCTAACAAAGAATAGATATGAGATTGAGGGAGATACTCCAGCTTGGGAAGAGGCGGAAAAACAGGTACTGAGTGCGACAAAGCAGGGCAAGTCAAACCCTGTGGTCAGTGTAAAGTCAGCCAAGCAAAAGAGAAAGGCCGGCGGTCAGACAGCGGCTGAGGTCTATGAGGAGGCATTCGGCGAAAAGAAGAAGAAGAGCAGCAAGAGGGTGAAAAAGTCGGCGTGAAAGTGATGAAGAATATCCTAAAGTTGGGTTTGGCACATGGAACGGCGTTTTTCTCGATAGACAGACGTGTTTAATCAATATACTGTTTCAATATGACTGCATTTGTCAACTTAGGAGGATTATTGATGGTTTGAGTCAAGGCTGTCACTCAGGGTTTACATGAGAGAGAGGTCAGCTTGCATCACAAGTACTATCGGTTAGGCAATGATGTTCGCGTGAAAATCAGGGGTATCAATTTGTTGCTGTGCTACAAAGCTCTAGTCTATGGTCTTACCACCAAAACGGCAAATACTCTACGTCCAATTCCAGTCGAGTATCCTCATTCTTCCACCAGGGAAGCCCAGCTCTTTCCTGCAGAAGTTTGCCCAAATGTCGTTCCCAGAAACTCCTCTCATTCAACGAAATCACCATCACGTCCCAAGTCCATCATAGACAAGAACAGGCTCATGATAGAGACGGCCGGCCCGTTATACGCTTGAACGACTTTGGGTTTCACATCACGGGTACGGTCGGGGACATCACCGTAGAACAGATCTTCGGGGTCAACCTCAGAGGTCTTGTTGGAGGCGGCATCGTTGAATATATTGTTGTCTTGAATTGAGTTCTCGCTGTCAGCATCATAACTGTCTTCAGGACTAGTATGTTGGTTACTACTCCCTTCTCCATAGTCTGTATCTGTATCTGTATCTGAAGACTCGAGACCGTCGAAAGATGTGACAGATTCAAGGTCTCCCATCATATCCTGGCGAATCAAGGACATAAAACCCTCGGGCTTCTTGCGAGGAGGAATAGGCTTCTTCTGGAAGTACTCACGAGCAAACTGGTCCTCCCATTCCTCCAACTTCTCATGAGCCACATATTCACGGGCCAGTTTGATCTCAGGGCCTTCATTCCGGGCGCCCCCAAAGCCCGGGAGGATGTTTCCAAACCACGAGAGGCAGGTATCGTTATTGTGACAACCTGTGAGCATAGGCTGGAACTGTTTCATACGATAGTCACAGTCCCATGTTGGCGGGATATGTCGTCGCTCGCGGTGAGCCATTTGTGCCTCGACGTACCAGCTGTGACAAGGGATGGTATAGATACCAATATTGTCACCGCAATGGCAGCATTGTTGGACGACCTCTTGGCACATTTTTGTTTATATTTTCGGTGGTTTCCAGGAGTTCGTGCTGAAGAATCGCGGTAACAACTGTAGTTCGGGTATGGATAAGTTGTTGATCGCTGAAGGGCATGTGTAAGGAAGGGGAAGGGTTTGAGAACTAGCATTCTGTGAGAGAAGAGAGCAGAACTGTTGGACAACGAACTCTGCAAAGTGAACAGCTGAGACTTGAACAGACAGTGGCAAACTGAACATTGAGTAGCAGTAGCAGTGGCAGGGAGTTGTTATGTGAGGACAAAGACGTGATTCGCTGGAGAACATGTAGCCACTGGCTCCTGTCCATGGCCTGGACTATTCACAATGGAACAGAATTCGATTTAAAGCAAATTATGAGAGAGTATCGAGTCATTTCTTGTATTAGTATTGTCTCTAAGTGTTTAACGTTTCTGAGTATCTGTCGATGGTGGGCGACTGACTCAAGACAACAAAATCCAACTATCATGGTACAGCTTCAAACCACCAAAAAGAACACGAATCAGCAGAAGAAAACATACAACACCAGGTATTCGCTGGTCGTCACCGACCCAACTACTAATCCGGCGCTTCGTGGCTTGACTCTGGGGGAGCGGACGGGACCCCGTATTCTACACGAGCTGTGGTCGTATGTGACAGACCGAGAAGCACAACAGCAATATGAAGGTGAATAGTGACAGCATATCCATATCCATGCTCGTATCTTACTTTTTACCTCATAACGCACGCCTTTCAGAGCTTTCTCCGTTCCCAACTGGAGTCTTGCTGGTGCAGCTTTCGTTCGGACAAGTCTCTGGGGTTAGTGGGCTACAAACCTCCTGAACGACTCCAAGATCGTGAGACACAAAGTATGCGACAGGATGGATTAGGTGACCATTTTCAGTGCGAGCTGCTTCTGGATCTGCGTTAATATGAGGTCCGCAATGTTTCCATTCAAGGGTGACCGTGACCCAACATTCGGGGCATAAAGCGACGTATTCGCGACACATGCTGACTTCTGGTTTTTTCTTCTTCTCCTTTCTTTTCTGCAAGGGCCACGGAATTTACTGCGTTATTGATTCGTCGATAACTTAATGTCTTGTAGGATGGTTAGATCTGAAATTGTTGTGCTGGATGAGTCTTATAGACGAAATACACTTGTGAACAAGAGATGTTCGTGGATTGTTCACCCCGATCATAATGGCAGCTAGAGTATGAACAATAGCAAACGAAGGCAATACAGCCTGCGAGATGAACAGTGATTGAAGTGTTTGGCTGACGATGTGAAGGGGACTTGAATCATGTCAGTATTCCACGAAGATTCTAGGTACGCTCCAGTATCACGCCGAGGATTACTCGAACTAGGTACGTGAAATCCAAGCCATCAATAACAGTGCTATCAACATCACAGCAAGTCCCATACTATAAGCAATTGAGTGTCCTAAGAGAGAAAGTCTTTTTATCGCTTAGAGTAGAGTTCCTAAGCCTTCTTGCCTCCCCTAGATAGAGAGCATCCCATACCACGATCAGATGAAAAAAGGTTAGCTAATAGGAATAGAAGACAGATGCAGGGAACCATCAGTATAGCCAATTCTGACATTCTCGATATTCAGAGACACCTCCACCAACAAACTTTCATCGTCGTAAGCAGGGTCATTTCATTTGGCCTTCCGACGTGGTATGCATCAGTTCACAGGCATGATCTGATAGGACACAGTGTAGTACTTTTACAAATATGTAAGTGACAGGCTATCAATGCAACCCTGCCGCGGGGTACCAAGCATGGAGAAGGAAAGCGGTATCTGTATCTCATGAGGCTTCCAAGTCCAACTCGGATTCTGCTATATACTTAGATACAAGTAAGCATTGGAATACATGTTTTCTAAAAAGACCTTATATAATATTCGAATAAGAAATACAAGACACAATTTCCGTTACCAAGTCAGCAAAGGCGCAGCACCAATCCTTAAACTTCTATATCCGATTATCATGCACGTTCTTGGGGTTCCAACCTTGAGTGCTCCGATCTCGGCGGTAGCTCCGGCACCGTAGGCAGTGTTTATGATTATTCCCATGTAAGCAATCCAAGTATAAAGAGGCAGCAAATTCTCTTATTCTATTTTCTTGAACTCACTCATTCAATCCAATTCACATACTTCTCAATCGCAACGATGGCCGAACAGAAAGATAGATGGTCTACCAACGTGCGTATGCTTTGTCGTTAGGGGAGCTTCACACTTACACCAAATCCAGGCCTATCAGCACTCAGCTTCTTTTGTCCCAAAGCTGGCAACAAAAGTTGTCCAATGGCTTGATTTACAGAAAGACGATGTCCTTCTTGACATTGGATGTGGAGGTATGTGACTGAGTCCCAACTTGGACCACAGACCTGAGGCTGATTGTCTAGATGGCATCTTGAATGCCGAGTTCGCAAATATCCTGGCACAGGGAAGCGGTTCAATGCACGGCATTGATAGCTCAGCTTCCATGATTGAAGCTGCCAGAGAATTGTGCAAAGATTCTCAGAACTCTACCTTTGATGGTAAGCCAACCGACCTAATTGCTAATCCTTGATTCGTTGACCATTTGTAGTCTTGGATGCTACGCAACTCGTCTCTAAGCCAGAATTACAAAAAGGAGCTTTCACAAAGGTTTTCTCCAATGCAGCCATGCACTGGATTCTCTGCCCAGAAGATAAACGTGCTCAGTTCTTCGAGGGTGTCTACGCCTCACTGGCCCCTGGTGGTACATTCGTCTTCGAGATGGGCGGTTTCGGCAACGTTTCTGAGATGCGAACTGCTGCTCTGAGTGCTGTTGGTCGTCGCATCGGTATGAAAGCCGCTCTTGCAGCCGATCCATGGTTCTTCCCTGACGAAGCTTGGGTCACAAAGGCGTTGCAAGACGCAGGCTTCGTTGTTGAACGGGCAGAGCGGGAGTGGCGACCAACACCGACTGACAAAGGCGGCGTTGAGGGTTGGATTAGACTTATGGCAAGTCAGTTCTTAGATACTATCTCGGATGAAAAGGAGAGGGAGGAAGCTGTACAGGAATGCGTGGGGGTGCTGAGGGAGGTCTGTCGAAATCCTTCTGGTGGGGAGACGATACATTATGTGAGGCTCAGAGGCTTAGCCAGGAAGCCTGAATAGTTGTGATCCATGAGCTATAACCCATAGTAACTGTGGCATGCTACATCTTGATAGAACCCTTGTTAGTGGTATTAAAACCACACCGATATCGGTGTGTCATTGTGAGGAACTTCTCGAACGATGCCTGGCCGTAATGGAAGAATGTAAGTGGTGGTGATTAGTCAGTCAAGTCAGTGAAGCTCGGAAATTTCTAGGCGACTTGCGTCAGCGTATCTAACAGCGAATTGTTCCCGTCTCATACAATCAATCACTTGCCTCAGAGGCAATAAAGCCCAAGGCACCCAAACTTTACGTGGCCTATTGACCTCCGGCAGTTCCTCCAAAATATTCACTCCCTAAATATAATGAATCCTTTTGTATTACACCAAAGTTGCATTCTAGATGATACCTAGCTCATGAAGGCATTTCTTCCATCTCTATCGCACTGAAACGCCTGCATCGATCGTGAAACCAATCACAGCTTACCCTACAAAGGCACGACATCAACATGCCAGAACATGATGCGCTCGTGCTGTCGTATAGCCACTTGGCCAAGCTTCCAAGAGCGAACGATGCCCTGCAGACCCTGAAGAAAGTAGCTTCCCTTGTGAAGCCTATAATGCGAGCGCGTAACTGGAAAGTCCGAGAGTTGGCCGAGTTCTACCCTGAACAACATAATCTTTTGGGTAGGTCCCAGATGAGCTTTTTCAAATCATCTGCCATATTGAGTGTATTTCATAGGTCTCAATATCAACCGAGGGGCCAAGATATGTCTCCGTTTGCGACATGCTGGAGATAAGAACCAGTTTATGCCCATCGAAAGTGTTGTTGATACAATGCTACACGAGTTGTCACACATAGTCCATGGCCCTCACGATGCCAAGTTTCATGCCCTTTGGGATCAGCTAAGGGATGAGCACGAGGGTCTGGTTCTAAAAGGCTACACTGGCGAAGGCTTCCTTTCAGAGGGGCGCCGTCTTGGAGGCTCAAGAATTCCACCTCTCGAAGCTCGTCGAGTGGCGCGAGAGGCTGCAGAGAAGCGACGAGCTCGTCCCGGTACTGGGTCAGGTAAACGTCTAGGGGGTTCTGCTCCTCGGCCAGGTGAAGATATTCGGAGAGTAATTGCGGATGCTGCCGAGCGGCGGAGCAGGATCCTCAAGGGTTGTGGCACAGATAACCTCAGCGAAACTCAAATTCGCAACATTTCAGACAATGCCACAAAGAACGGTTTTCGAACACAGGCCGAAGAAGACGAGGCTAATGATGCAGCCATAGCTCAAGCCATGTGGGAACTAGTGCAGGAAGACAAATCTGTCGAATACGGCAACTCTTATATCGCTGTCACAGCAGACAACCCAACTGGAAATGGAGGCGGATCAGTAATCCCGCACAGGGGACCTGGTGGTAGTTCAGAGAGGTCCAGGGAGCCTCCAGGCTGGACATGCAGCACTTGTACTCTGCATAATCCTGCCAACTATCTCTGTTGTGACGCTTGTGGGATGGAGCGGTCCGAGATGAGTCCAAGGACACAACAGGTTAAGAACAGCCGTCGATCCAGATCGCCAGTATCGCAACCTGCTGTTATTGACTTGACAGCTTCGAGTCCGCCACGAGATCGGCAGAAGTCTGCTACAACATCGCGGAATTCAAGAACAAGAGTCACAAGTCAAGAAGTTGCATCGTCGGGACCGCAGATGTGGGATTGTAGTTTTTGTGGGACGGTGATGGAAAAGAAGTGGTGGACTTGTTCGACATGTGGAAAAATCAAGGACAATTCACGATAGTTAGTTTGAGAATTGCGATGCTGTTGGTCAAAAATACGAACTGGAGCGAATCCAATGCCTTGAACCCTTGTTTCTCGTGTCTTGGTTGTCGATCAACAATGACTTCATCGATGCTGGGTCTTGGTCTTTGAGGATGAGTTAAGTCTGCGACAGTCTCAAGCTATCTCAAGTGCGGGTTTTTTTTTTTTTTTCTTTTCTTTTTTCTGGACCGAGGCCAAGATGCAGGGGCCAAGTTAACCAAGATCGTATTAAGATTCCCAAGAGAAAAAAAGATGATATTAATGAGACTTTGCAGGATCCGGAAAGGCGCCGATTGGAACTAGAGATGATCTGCAAGGCGGGCTTGGACGCCATCGGAGCTTGTAACAATTAGACCCTAGCAGAAACCGGGCGGGTTGGGGGACAGAGGCATTCGGGTGAAACAACAAAAGACGGAGGAAAAAGAAGTGCTTACGCTTAAAGCGGCTGATGAGGAACAGCCAAGCAGAAGGGCGCAGCAATAACTGTTAGGTAATCTGCATGAAGATGCAATAGGATGTATCTGCGAGATGCCTTTGCGATTCCAGCTTGAGTTTATTAGTTGGCATGCCAAGAGATTGTTGTGTTTGCATCCTCCTGCGTGAATGGAAGTTGGTTATTTGACATGCGAATGTGCAAATAACACCGGAGTTTTTTATCCTGGAATCAATTCTGGGCTTTGGCTATAAGGTCTAGATGCCGATAGACTCAAGGCCAGACCACTCGATACAACCACAAATAGACGGCAGCATGCAGCTAGTTGTCCGGAATGCATCTGTCGGAGGATAATTGTGCATTTCATCGTATCACAACCGCTTATTAGCTGCCAGCTGGCAGAGCACCTAGATTCCAGCCCAGTTGCTAAAACAGGCACATTTGTTACCCTCAACCGCTAGCTGATGGAGGACAAGCAGTGAAACTTGATGAGTAATTATAAACCCGTTGGAATCGGAACGACTCAGTCTCAAGTCGCCCATCTTTGTGTCCCCAACATTGAAATGCAAAAAGTGAAAGTGTCTGCGTGGTGCCTGAAAGGCCGCAACACCTCATTCGTCGGTTCCCGCGATCTCCTGTGTCGTGCAGCACATCCATCCCTTGAAAGTGGGGAAGCTCGTCCAAAGCCCAGCATCAGCGTGGATGGAGATGCGAGTGCAACTGCAACCACATCAGGCGAGATAGTGTTGTACATACTGTAACAATGCGTTGTGCACCAGGAACCCGTATTCCCATATTCACATCAGTTGACAGCAAACATATTGACAAGGCGGTGATGCCTTGAAGGATCTCATGTTTTCGGTCTGGTCGACATTGGGTACCCGTAAGGTATTGATTGATTGTGCGTACCTTAGATTATAGAATCTCTAGCGTGGAGCTCCCGTTGTTGATGGTGGGCAGATGACAACCAATTCGTCCCGTGATAGGGTAGGTCTGCGAGAATGAATTGGATGGCTGCAAAGGAGGGTGTTCGTTAGACGCTATGTTGCAACGGTCAATTCAAAAATCCCCATGATGATGATCAGGATCATGTTTAAATTTCCATTATGGCCAATCTAAGGTCCGGATTCCAGAGGAGGAAGCCGATGTGGAAAGGTAACTCTCGTCGTTCCTCAGCCCCAACGTCGGGCGGATGACACGGATCAACAGACTTCCGTGGCCTTTAACTCAACTGCGGTCTGTCTCTGTTTCTGCCCTGCCCTGCCCTGTCCTGTCTGTGGTTGCGGGGATCGAGGCTATCCATTCCCACGGGATGGCCCTTGTTCTTACTGTAGGTTAGGCCGCCTTATTCTCTTGCCTGAATTGGTCATCGGGCATATGGTTGAAGCTTGTTGATCGATGAAAGAAACGTGCTCTATCGAGCTTTGTGCGACCAGGACCGCGATCGGCTTCGGTAAGGTTATCTTGTCCGATTCGGCCTCGTCTCTGCATAAGGCTGGGTTGGTCTCTTGTATTCAGTTGGACTTGTACTTGTTGTACTGTCCAGTACTGTGCTTCCTTAACCTCGAGATGTAACAGACTAGCCGGGGTCTCCCATGTTGGTAAGCAGGAGCAGCTCTATACTGACACGCCAGAGCTAAAGGGAGCTAGTTTACGATTCTGGGCTCTCTTAGATGCGATACTCGATTCTTGACATTGCGGCATTGGATCGCCTGTCATTGTGCTTTTCGAGGTTCTCGAGGAATCTTCAGCGATCGAGTCTGTGCCCACTTCGAGACAAGGTCTTTCGTTGAAGAACTGTTCACCGCAGAAATCAGGGCTTGCGACTGGAGCCATGCATGCCATGCCATTCTCATGCTCGATCGGCATTTCAAGAACAAGGGAGGGTGAGGTGGGCCCGGCTGTGGAGGCGATCCCGACCCTGGACAACGCCACGGCGCTCTCTTAGGTGAGCAGCCGGCTTAAACCGCCCCACTCTACAGCACCTCTCAGTGGAGAGGATCCGCACGGCTTGCCCCCCAGGCCCTCTGCGAGGCGCTGAGAGGAGACCTAAGCGACTACCAACAGGGCGTTAGACCCCCGTAAGAACCCTCCACTGCTGAAGGTTGTGAGACCCCGCTCGCTCGCTCACTCGCTCATTGTGTTGGTGGTGGTACCAGCCCAGCAGCTCTTGCCTATCCTATCACGTACCCCGGCACCAGGAGGAAGGTGACGGGAGGTGTGTCAATTCAGGGTCCTTCCTGTCCTTGGGTGCCGACTGCTTTCCTTCGCGGCTTGGAGTGAAAATCAATACCTATTCCTTTCAACGCTGTTGCACAAGAAAAACCTTGGATGTTTTATTTTCTCTTCCACTACCTGTATCTTCTCCTACATCAACATCTGATTCAACCCTGACTTTTGTTGTAGAAGCCCGGTCTTCTCCACCTCAAGCCTGGGCTTCCAGCTCATCCTGCTAAAGCTGTCATCTCTATTTCAGCTTTACGGTTCACATTCGCATCTCGGTTGAGCTGTCTCGTTTGTCCACTGGCTTCTCGGTTCAGACACACCAAAACGTGGTATATCATACTTGTTTTGTTTACAGAGATATCAACTTCTCGTAACTCACCCAACAAGAACCTCCCTCCCGCCGTTCCTGGCCCAAACCAGTAAACCGTCTTAGCACGCCCTTCAAAGTCTAATCCCGCCTCCGTCGACGCCGTCCCAAGACAAGCTAAGCTAGACTTGAGCCACGGATTGCTTGACCTTTACGACACTTTTCCCTCTCTGCGCCATGCCAATTCCCCGTCGCCGGTCACTTGTCGATTCGAAGTAGATCAACTCCACTGATTACTTTCTTTTGGACCTTGACTCAAGGTCGAGACCGCTGACGCCCCGGCCATCGCTTCCTTCGCCTACGACCAGTGCATTCACAACTTGCAACTCTGAATATTTACTCTCCCTTGTGATTTTGTTGTTCGGCTCCTCATCATTTGTTCATCGTTTAATACCCAACTCGCACGGAACGGCGTTCACTCTCCATGACTTATAACGCAGCACCGATATGAGCCCTCCCGAACAACCTCGTGAGAGCAGCCAAACCCGAGCTATTAGGCCCGCAGCAGCTGTGCACGACACCGGCTTTCCCTTGGCTTGCTCCGAATCACATCAAAACCAAATCCAAGCTCCTGTTCCGACCTCACTTGACAATGCGCGACCGAGAGCCACTTTCGATTTGGTGAATGATATCAAGGGCCATGATGCCACCCCACGACCATTTGCCGGGGGACGCTTCCTCAGGGATTTGGGAGATGCTTCGCGCTCACCTTCGCAAAGCCCTTTTCGCCTAGCCATGCCTAGTATATCCCCTGCCCAGCTTGCATTCTCTGCCATGCAGTACTTGCCGGTACCAACACTCGTTCTTAATAATCTTAAGACCGTCGTCCTGGCCAACGAAGCAATGGGTCGAATGCTAGGACTCATTACGGAAGATTCGGATGAAGAGGATACTCTACCGACTATCGAAAGCCTTCGCGGCCAGACCTTGTCTCAAGTCGGTGTTGATATCCTCCAGGATGGACAGCCTGTGTGGGCGACGTGGGAGGCTTTCCTCGATTCTCAGGTGGATGAAATGGGCGTGCGAATTGCGGCAAGGGATCCACGACGACCATCACAGTCTGGCGGCGATGAGACGCCAACCGCAAGCACAATGCCTCTCCCCGAGAGGACACCAAGCCCACCCACGCGTAAAACCCAGGACTCCATCGTGGAAGTTGTTATCACCCGCAAAAATGGCAACAAGACAGCGTTTGATGGCCGCTATAACCCTAAAGATTCGGATTGTCAAGTATATGCTAAGATGATTATTACAATATGGGAACTCGAAGATCATCAGACGTTCTTCACACTCACCTTTACCAGCACGGAATCCCCGCCATCTACTCTTCACAGCACGAAACGACCCGTTGCGAGACCGAGTATCCTCGAGGCTGCCGAGCGCAAATCTATTGCCCACTCAAACCCGTCCTCGGTTGCGTCAAGTCGAGATTCGAATTCACCGTCGTTTCACAGCCCAGGAATTGTCACCATGTCATCTAGCCCTTTCCCACCGATGGGCCCCCCTTCTGTCGCAACCCATTCAAGTACGCCTTCTCTTCTGCAAAAGATGCTGCTGATGAAAGACGCACTGCTCAACAATACCCAAATGCCTATTCTGGCAATGTGGAAAGATGGTAGTGTCACTTTCCCCAACACAGCCGCTCGGAAACTCTTCGAGAAAGAAGCCCCGCTCGATACATCTCTTAATGGCTTTGATCTCATGCGGTATTGGCACATTTACACTGAGGACTTCTCGGAGCGCTTTGCGGTTGAGGATATGCCTATTTGCAAGTTGCTCAAGACGGAGAAGCCCTTCAGCGGATTTCGTGTTGGCATGTATGATGAAAACAGAAATAAGCGGATTTACGATGTCCTTGGTGAGGCTATTCGGGACGATTCCACTGGCGAGTTTCTCGCTGGTGTAGTTACCGGACGAGACGTTACTGTTATGACAGAAGAGATCACACAAATAAAAGAGCGGGATGAAGAGCGTTTCAAGCTGATTTGCGACACAATGCCTCAACTGGTATGGACGGCAATGCCTGATGGCATGGTCGATTTCTGGAACACTCGGTTTTACACTTACACCGGGCTTACTCCAGAGAATAGTCTTGGCAAGTCATGGGTGAACGCTTTTCACCCCGATGATCTTCCTGAAGCACACCGGAGGTGGCAACACTCGCTGAATACGGGCGATACTTACGTGACGGAATACCGTTGCCAGAGTAAGGAAGGCAATTGGCGTTGGTATCTCGGCCGGGCATTGCCTCAGCGTAACAAAGAAACTGGAGAAGTCGAGAAGTGGTTTGGTAAGTGTCTTGATTGATCAAATTGTTGTTCTGGGGGGCTGACCATCCATTTCACAGGAACCTGCACTGATGTCCACGAAAGCATCCAAACCAAAATGAGCGCGAAACGTACACGACAACAACTTCTTAGCGTCATTGCCCACTCTCATGTTACCATTTTCACGGTTGACCCCAATCGAAGGGTCACAATGCTCGAAGGCGCATTGATCTGGAACAACACTCACGAGGAGAACCATGATGGAACGAGGTGGTTCATTGGAGAGAATATGTATACTGTCTTCAATCGCTTGACAGCGCAACTAGCAGACGGAGAACGTCCCGAATTCCTTGAACCCATAGAGCTATTGCTCGATGGAAAAGCCACTGAAGATCTCAAGGAACACGGCATTGGTAAGGATAGGGTACCAAACCGGACCTCGACAAGCTTTACTAACTTCAAGTAGACGACCGTTGGTACCGAACTCGTTTCCTTCCCATGTTTGGCAAAAGGCCACAAGAAGGAGATGCCAGGAACGGCACGTATATCGAAGGGGTCATTGGCGTAATCATGGACGTTACCGAACTGAAAGTTCGCGAAGAAGCCCTGGAGAAGCAGTCCAAAGAAAAGCGAAGGGCGATGGCGAATGAAGCAGCTGCCAAGGAGGCCAATAGACTCAAGAGTCAATTCCTCGCCAACATGTCTCACGAAATACGAACGCCCATCACTGGTGTGTTAGGAATGGCCGAATTACTTAGCGGAATGCAGTTGGACGCAGAGCAACAAGAATATGTCGAAAACATTCAGAGCTCGGCAACATCTCTGTTAACCGTTATCAATGACATTCTAGACTTCTCGAAGGTGGAGTCTGGGCGGTTGGATATCGAAGAGGTACAATTCTCCTTATCCCATATCGTCAAGGAAGTGGGGAGAATGCTTCAGTTTGCTGTTGAACGAAAGAACCTTGACTTTCAATCCGATATTGGAGATGGCATCGAAAACGATTTGGTGGTCATTGGTGACCCTGGACGTGTGCGGCAGATCCTGACCAATCTTCTTACCAACAGCATTAAATTCACAAATCAAGGATACGTCAGATTTTCAGTCACGGCAGAGAAAGAGACCTCAGAGTCAATCGAAGTTCGATTTACGGTCGAAGATTCGGGCATTGGAATTCAGGACGATGTTCGCAAGAAGCTTTTCCAGCCTTTTAGCCAAGGTGATGCCTCAACCGCCCGACGGTTTGGTGGTACTGGACTGGGTTTGACCATCTGCAAAAACTTACTTGACCTCATGCACGGCCGTATCTCGCTCGAATCGAATGTTGGGGTCGGAACTCAAGCAACCTTTTGGATCCCTTTCAATAAACCAAGCGGCCCGGCTGAGGCTGGCCTCGCTAATGCTGGTGCCATCCCTGACCGGCTGCAATCTGAACTTAGCTTGTCTTGCAACAGTTCAGAATACGATCAGATTGTTGGCACCCCTCCGCCTTTCGACGGAATACAGGCCAACAATGCGGGATCCCGTCGGACTCGCTTCGGCATATCATCAACATCAAGCCCAGAACAAGAACTTGCAGCATCAGAAAGAGCTAAGATCCACGTTTTGGTGGTGGAAGATAAGTAAGTATCAAGACGACTCCGGAAGACACTATAAAGCTAACCAGCCCAAGCCCTATCAACCAGAAGATTGCCACGAAAACCATTGGCAAACTCGGTTTCCAAGTGACGGCTGCTTGGAACGGCAAGGAAGCCCTGGAATACCTTGCTGGTGTTCAAAAAGGTATCAAACAGAAGCCAGATATCATCCTCATGGATGTACAGATGCCCATCATTGATGGCTACAAATGCACCCATCTTCTAAGGCATCACATGCCTTACAAGTCTTTGGTTCAAGATGTGCCGATCGTGGCCATGACGGCATCGGCTATTCAGGGTGATCGTGAAAAATGCACCAAAGCTGGGATGGATGATTATCTCGCCAAGCCAGTTCGGGGTGTTATCTTGGAGAAGATGCTTTTACGATGGTGTCACTCTCGACGCCGGACATCGGCGACACCAGACCCTACTGCTTCCGACTGTTCAGAGATGAGCGAGCACTGCGACAATGCTGATATTCCGAACATTGGCATCGACGACGATGACATGCCACAGACATCTGAGGAAATCAATGGCAGCCCCATCACACCTCGACCGTTGACCACCAATGGATACCAGAACGAGCCGTCGCCCTTTGATTCTACCGGGCTGGCAGTGCAGGTCCGACGACCAGAAGGAGAGACTGAATGGTCTAACAGGCTACAAGAAACAAAACTCATCGACGCTGCAGGGGGCCCGTCAAGCTACCGGAGGAACTCATACCACGAACTACAGACCGGAGATTCGTTGACCGAGGAGAATGTCAACAAGTTGAAGAGCGAGAATCAGTCGACGACACGTCGATAAACCAATGAAACCATCGGCCGGGCTCCGGAACCAGCAACCAATCGGTTCATCGCGACCGAAACTATTGAAACATGTTATTGCTCGATCGCCGATCGAACCTCACCCACAGCGGGAAACAATACCCACAATCACATACAGAACCACTTGTCCGATAAGCGCGGATTCATTTTTACACTCTTCTTTCGGCTACAGCATTGGCAACAAAAGCATGTATGCATTGATTGCATTGCACACGGTGGAAATGGCGTTGAAACGGGATACCGCTCACATTTAGCGAGCAGAAGAATCAGTGGAGAACACACTCAGGCCAAAATGCCCTGGATGTTGCTCCTATTGTTGCGTGTTTTGCCTTTTATCATCTATAGACGGACGGGTTCCAGCATTCTGGCAAAAAGAAAAACGGGAGGACCTTTTTTGATTGCCTGTACATGATTTGGCAAAATTACGCATCTATGGATTATGGATTGAAAGATAAATAGTTGAAAGGGTTATGTTTTTTTTTGTTGCGTACGAGACAGCAGGCACATGGATGAATGATGGGATGGATCGATGATACCTTTTTTGACTCTTTTTTAATATTTACTATTTCAATTATTTGAAGCTGGACTAAGATGCATATTCAGTCCAAGTGGCCTATACAATTGCTCCTCGCTTGCTATGTTCAAACTTTTAATAATGCCAAAGAGATTACTGTTCAATGGTTACGTGAAAGCCGTAAGGTTCATGCACGGCATTGACAGCGCACACAATCAGTTGATGCCTGATATATAATACGATTCTTGGGCATCTCGCTCCAAGATCGTGGCTTGATCTAGACCTCGGTCTCGATTCCCGGCTGCTTAGACGAGTGCTCAAAGACGCCGGAGGCTTTGTCCCCAACTTGATACATCTTATTCTTGATCCACTTGGCCGTTCGCGGGATCTAGGCCCATCTGTTAGTTCCAGTCTTATGGCACGCCCCCTCTAAAAGCGGGAGGGCAGGAAATAGAAACAAATTTGAAAGCCACGTGCGACTCATACAAGGGTATCAGGAGCTTACCTTCCATTGCATTAGACCCCGGTGCTGGCGATGCAGCCGCTTGTCTCGACGGCGATAGTCCTTGAGTTGGTCTATAGGACCCTGTTTGTGATCAGCGCTCCCATCTGGGACACTAGAAATCTGGCCGTCTTCGTCTTCTGTATCTGAGGAGCTGGAGCTGGAGCTGGAGTCCGAGTTGCTGCCTATAGAGCCTGCACGGCGGACACGCTGGCCGGAACCTTCGTCATCAGAATCGTCAGACTCAACAATACCGGCTTCTCTTTCCTGGTGGCCGACTTCAAGATTGTCGCGAGAAGTTTCAATTACTTCAACAACATTTTGAAGATGTTCGTCTCGACTCGCCCATCGAGAATGGGCACTTCCCTAAAAGGACATTAGCAACTGGGCAAGGCTTGCCAGACACTTTCATATGTGCTTGTAGAATGCTTACCAAACCGGACCAGAATGTGAGCTTGAGTTTGATAGTGCCCAGACGTTCACCGCACTCCTCTAAACAGCAAGCTGTAGCACGCTGGAAATCGCCTTTCCATATAGGCAGTTCCAACTCTGCTTCTTCTTCGTCGGCAATATCTTTAAGCCAAAGGACAGCAAATGCAGCCGTGCCGTCTCCAAAGAACCCTTTCTCCCGGAAAGCGATTGACATACAACTGCTATATCTCTTAGCAACTGCCAGAGCAAGTGATCTACCCCGTTTCGATTTCCAAGTCACTGGTCCTTGATCGTCACCATCCTCAGTATACATCTTTGCACTACTGATACTGGTCCGGAACTTGAGCTTAGATGAGCGAAGTTCCTTGGGACAGTCTACCACAGTGACAGTGGGCTGAACCTCGATTGTGCCGTACTGCCATCCTAGGAGATTTCGTGGCGCTTGGAGTTGAACACTTCTGAAGACCATTGAGATACGGACTCGTCCATAGCCAATGCCTCCTGATAGGGGCCAAAATCCCATGACTTGCGAACGTTCACGGAATATTTCTCCGAGAGGCAGATGGATGATGCCAAGCAAGGGGTCATCCTCCTTCAGTCGAGCATCACGGACCGTGACAAAGACTTCTGCTTCACGCCAGTCGCGGATGAATCTCTCGCAGCCAGCGTTATAGAACGGCTTCGAGTTTTGAGGCTTTGTTCTCGTCTTGAATACCTTTCGGTGATTAAGGATGATAGTACAATATGCACTTGGCAGACCATCACCCGAGTCCTCTTCGTCGGTCGCCTCAGCGTCGTTTTCGGCCTTGCGCTTATTGAGTCGCTCCAGCTCAAGACCAGTGATGTTATGCACTTGGATGCTGAAAAGACCGCTAGGGTAGCCGTCGGGTGGGGGTGCAGAAATGATCATGGCATCCTGCTCAGCCTTGAGCTCTTGAGCTGTCTGTTGCTCAAGCTCGCTCGTGTCTCGCTCCTTCTTGCCTTCCTTGAACATAGTCTCGCGAAGCTTACGCTCACTTGACTCTCTGACCTTCTCCTTAAGCTGATCCATAGTACGGATTTCAGGGTCATGGGTCTGCTTCTCAAACTGACACTGCTGGATCCTGGTCTTGGAGAAGTATCCAACGCTCCACTCCAGTTTTCCCGGCATACCATCACCCGATTTCAGGGCTCTGAAGCCATCTTGTCGATGTGAAATTTTCCCATTAGACTTATCGTCCCTCATCAGTTGCTTGATGGGAATTTCAATTCGTCCGAGGTCGTCGTCGGCCGTGAACCTATCCGAGTCCCACAGCTGAACGCGAAGTCGCTCGTCGATATTAAGCTCCTGCGGTGTCACGAGAATAAAACAAGTTTCATCCCAAACAGGCTCCATCTCGTTCTCCAGTACTCGTGTCGTCCACATCACCTTACCAAATTTGGCCCAGCCGACCGAGACATACCCGTCTGAGCTTCCTTCTTTGATAAGTGGAATGCCGGAATCACCCATCTTGAAGTCGTAGCCGCGCTTGATGTTGACGACCAGAACGCCAACAGCGTTCGTATCCTTCTTGAAATCATCACCAGCAAGCATGTCCTTCAAGTCCAGGGTAAGGCTTTTGGGGGCAACGTATTCAGCCATAGCGGCATCAACGGCGGACTGAACGAAGTTGCTGATGAATGGCACGTCCATTATGTTGACCGCATGTTTACTCAAAGGTACGCAGCTCAGGTTAACCCTTGGCTGTCCAAGGAAGGTGAGCGTGCAAAGAGAGAAGAAGGGAGGATCAGGGGTAAGCTGAAGGCGCATGCGCATGGTACCAACCACACCTTGGAGGTCGACCCAGACAGGTATCTTGAGGTTTCCAGGTAGGTAAAATGCAAGGTATAGATGCATATCTTTGGTTCTCTCCTTAAGAGACTTGGATGAAGATCGAGTGCGGTAGGCAAATGCAACCTCGAGGTTAATAAAGTCTCCTTCCTCGGCCTCCATTCCGTCCTGGATTGTGGCACTGCTATCGCTATTCTCGCCGTCCTTCTCCTCAGTGTCATTCTCACTTTGTTTCTTGGTCATGAGCTGTCCTTCTCCATCGACTGCCCGAGCAGCAGCTCCAGTAGGGAGCCATCTTACCCCAAGAATCCGCAGAGATTCGCTTCCCTGGCCAATATCCTCTACGCTGACCATTCGAATTAATCTGGGAAGCGAAGCTTGCATGACATCCTCGAGGGTGTCTGCAAGACTGGCAAATAGATCGGGGTTGATGAGAGGCCAAACAGAACCGATCAGAGAGTTGAGCCAGACCGTGGTCTCAGTATCGTTCTTCTTGGATGCCTTTACAACACCTCGTCGATGGGCGTCCCAGACCTCATCTTCAAAAATATTGTTGACTTTTTTGGACACCCATTCTCGAACTGATACTACAAGAAACCATACAGCTCCCACAGTGGCTGCGGTCAGGATTAACCAGAGTGAAGCGCCAACGAATAATGAGGATTTAGTTCTGTCTCCCTGGAGAATACCCTCTCGGACGAGCCTTTCGATAGCAAATGCGCCGGCCACGATACTAGCCACTCCCGCAAGCCCGAATGTGACACCGCGCTTGCTGATGGATGAAAGCTCAAGGCGCAGAGCATCGAAATCGGGTGGTGGAAATAAATCACCCATGGCATCATGACTTTGTTGGATATCTCGATGCTCATCGCGAAGCTGCTCGTCTGTCTTGTTCTTGTTTTCCGACCCTGTCGCTGTGCGTTGTGTGGTACCAAAGGGGGGTTCATTACGGTCTATTTCTTTAAGAGCTTCGTCTGTGAAATCGTGTATAGTGACAGGAAGATGAGTGACGGGGTCTGTAACTTCTCGCTCGGCTCTTTCTCTCCTGCTCTTCTTGATTTCTTTCCTCCGTTGTTTTGGATCTGATGATTGGGGACCAACTTGTGAAGTGTCTGTCATTTCTTCCCCATTGGCTTTCTCTTCATTGTCGTCCTTTTTACTATTACCATCCCTGTCTTCCTCGACTGATTCTTGGTGGGGCCCATCATCCTCTCTAGACTTTTGCTGAAACTGATAATCATTTGAGCCAGCAGCCTCTGACGGGTCAGGTTTTTCGACTGCGGCATCTTGACGTGCAGCTCTCTCTTCTCGATATTTGGAGATGGTTGGAATAGGATGCTTAGCGCTATATGGAGCTGTATAGCGACGGTGCTCCTCCGCGTCGTCTCTTCCAGACATGGCTGGTCGCGGGCAGTCTTAAGGTAGTGACAGATTGGTGATATACAATTGGCAAGGAACTAGGGATTGTTCAGAGTCTTGGAGATGCAAGAGAAAAAGCTTAGTTGATAAGTTTCACGGAGAAGTTGAGAAGACCAAGAAAATTATGGAACAAGGAGAAGAATGACAAGAATTAAGGCAGGTACCTTAGTAGTTGGTTCAAAGGTTGCTGTCAAGTTGAAGGAAGGTGCAACGGAAGGTGGTAAGTTACTACGTCATAAGCTAGCGGGCATGGGTGATATGCCGAGCTTTCCTTCTTGGCGGAGCCATTTGTACGTACGTAAG